TTTTCTTCGTACTGAGTAGGCCAGAGCCGTCTAGAGCTCAGACTGAGCAACTTTGTACTGAAGTGAGTTTGCTTGTACGGAAACAAAAAAAATGATACGTAATGAAGAAGAAAAACATCAACCAAAGAAATTCCAATCTCCTATATTCATAGAGAAATGATTCATCGACCTGGGAGATAATCCATTTCATTTCAAAACTTCTCCGAAGGGATACAATAATAACTTCTGGTAAAGAGCGATGATCCAAGGTATTCTGTGAAGAAACCAGTTATGATCATTCGAAATGAATTCAATCTCTGCTTGAGGAGATTCATAACTCTAAGAAAATATTCCCACATGTTTGGAAAAATCAAACAAGTACTCTAAACAATAATACAATTATTTTTCATCGAATTCAGTGTATTGCTCATTTGGAGAGATCTGAAAACTAATTTCAAGATGAGCGATGCTCTTGTTCCGAAATTTGCTCGTGAGTCTATCTGTCTGAAAATTCGGATTGACTTCAATTGACAAATTTCATTGCCTCTAATAAAAAATTTGAGAACTCTTGATAAAATCAATCAGTACAAGATGTCGAATAACTCTATTTCTGATGAGACAAATCAGTTTTCAGTTGAAAATTGGAATAACTATATATACTCAAGAATATGTGCTCTTGCTACTCAATACCCAACAAGAAAATGTTCTTTTCTGATGACACATACCTACCTACTCATAATTGGTCATGGATTTCTTGAGCGAAAAATACAGCGATACTCCGTTCAACAGCTATCTATTATTCAGGAATCTATAATGATTTCATAGGAAGATTAAATTGCTAATATATTCTTCTTTCGTGAACATGCAATCTTGGACTGAGAGAATGAATGGCATTCTTGACATGAATCATATATGTCTACTAATTTCATGAAAGTATTCTTTTTGATATATCGCATTAAATCTACACCACGAAGGAAACCACCAAGTACCTACTCGATATTGAATTTGAACTTGGCACGTCGCCACAGACGTCACGACGTATTTTGTAGTCATGGCAAGAAAGTACCAATGATAGGCATGATGCAGACATGTTTCCACAACTAACGCTCTGACGCATCGCATTTCACTATTCTTTCTATTCATATATTGAAGGTAGGTATACCTATTATCATACACATCAAAAAATTTCAATCAATTCCATGAGTTCCTGGAATATTCACTCTCGTAGAAGATTACTCAATAGTATTTATTTTGCTATCTCTCAGATATTGTCAAGCACCAAACCACATCGAACAACAAAACTGCACCAAACACACGACACAAACGACAATGAATATACAGTCTAACATTTTGTAATATCAAAAACAGAATTTCATTCAAACAAGAAATCTCCACACTCCTATAGGGATAATTTTGACTTCTTGAAATAATGAGAGCGTATTCTTTCAAACATAACTTATGGAATATATTGAAATCAGACATCATCAAGAAAAATATTACGTGAATTTCAAGATATTACTTTTGAATCAGAAGAATCATGATTTCTCATTTATAGCGATATACACTCTGTTCAAGATTCTCCAGTGTCTCTTCTTTTTCCATTGGCGTGAGAGTTTCAGATGTTTATTTACTGAAAAAAGCAAGTTCTACACCCATGGAATGATATTCATCATTGATCATGATAGGGTTTTTTTGGCAAATAAAGCTATGGTAACATGAGTTATGAAGCAAGAACAATTCGAAAATTCAGAGCCTCCTAGCGCCCCAACTAAACAAATTCATACTGAGGTAAGTTTGCTTTTATCGCATTGTTTGATCTGAGGAACATGTGGTAGATTGTTGTGAAGACTTTTCAAGTACACCCTGTGTATTAAATTCAAAACTCTTCTATTTATTATTATATACCTATCGAAATACTCACTTCGGCGTCATATTCACATTTTCTTCTCTACAATACATAATATTCGATATCCAACATAATTGTTATATACCTACTAATAAACAATTCAAAATGGGAATAAACTACTATGGTCGATCGGAGGGTTGATTACATATCTCAAGGCATTTTGCTCGCGGCGTCATTATAAATTAATATCATTGGTAATTATGTTCAAAGAGATATTAATGAATATAGTACAAGGTGTAACATAATATATGAGTACGTGGAAATCCAAACGACGTATGAACAATTGAAAATAAAGCTAATTTGAACTTGTATCTGGAAATACTTAGTTACGGGTGTTGAAATTAGTTCATTTTTGTTCGCTTTCAAGAAAACTGTTTTGCAAAAAATAACTCTTGTATTGTCACGGCAAAAAAAGTGAGTCATATTTTGCAGGATATACATGTGCTCTGTTGATGGCTTTGGTTGTGAAATTTCCGGAAAATAAACAAGTACACCGTCTCTGAGAAAGAACTGAAAGTCATTTCATTTTCTATTCCATTTCGCGGTTACGTAAATTACTAAACAACCACTAATTTTGCAATTTTCCAAAATCAGGTGTAATTTTCTGATTCCGATTCAATGTAATATCTGCTCATTATTGATTCTTCTCTCCTCATGTCACAGAAAACATAGTGTATTGGAATTGAGCTCATGGTGAATTGTCTCCCTCAGCTACAGGGGGGGGGGGGCAACACATCCTGGAGCTAAAATCTACTACTCTTTTTCCTTGGATGATGAATAACTATCATAACTATCATTTGAATCAGTGTGTTATTTTGAATTCCGTTGTTATATTGAACTTCCTTCAGGATTCGGAATACATGAAGTATATTCATTAACTATATATAATAAGGTGCTACGCTAAGATTTCTGCGGGACGGCCCCTGAGTTCGCAGCTACGCCACTGTCAACATCTAATAGTGATTGTAAAAAAAATGATCATCTTTCACTTCCAATAATTTCAATTTCTATATAATTCAATAATAATTACAATAAAATGAGAACATGATCATGGATAATATGTAATATAGATATGTAATGATGTTGCGTTGTCAGGCATACTAAAATAAACCTTATTTCCAATTCAGAGGCATATTATTCGACTTTTGATCTTGAGAAATTTTTGTCTTTGACGCATAATTATAATCCTCCATTTTTCCTGGATTCCCTATACCCTGAAATGAGACCCCTGGGTAATCCTGAATATTGGCACACCCACCCAATGACGAGATACGAAAACTATTTGATGCTGCTTTTGAAGTTCGATTTCTCAGACTTCGTGACCTTGAATGACACCAAGTACACATAAAAAAATGTAACGTTGAATCAACAAATCACCCTTCGACCCAACCTGAAAAAACATCACATTTTTTGCAGAAATGGTACAGCAAATCTCCATAAGATCCGTATCAAACGTTCAAATTCCCGTACTCTTTCAAATTTTTTTAATGTTCCTAATATTGAAAAATAGTTGTGATCAATGCATTCAATGGATTCTGAGTGTGTTTCCATTCAATCAGGTTAATAAAAATCAAAAGGCGTTTTTAATTCTTCCTAGAAATAAGCATTTTATCTTCATATTCCGGAAATATTTGATGACGGTTGTTACGGAAGCTTGTTGCCTAATAATCTTGCGAATGACAATGTTTATCAAAACTTTCGAGCCGTAGGCAAAAAAAAGTAAAGCATATAAAATAATTCGTAAGAATGGTCGATTCTGATTGGTTCTCAAGTGCAAGAGTGAAATATTCAGAAATAATCATTATATTGTTTTATTTCTCAGAATGCGCTGTCCTACATATTGAATTCAAAGCTTCTAGAGAAGGATCAACAGGAGGAAAAATAATTTTTCAATGATTGGTTCTCCAAACGGTGTAAGTGAATCAAAATAACGCGCTTTTTATCGTTTTTCAAAAAGTTCTGGGACAAAAAATATACACAAATCAATGTAGGTCCTAGCAGCTTCTCCTAAGGGCTCAAGTCAAATATGATCTACAAAAAATAAGGACGCGAGGTCACTAACTATAGGAAAAAATGAATCAGGCAATGGAAACGTCTGAAAACTTATCTCAAAATTCTCAGAGGTTGAGTGAATCGGAAAAAAAATCCTTTTTTGTGATTGCATTTTAATAATTTATTATATTCTAGGCATGTTGAGTATATATCAAATTATTAGAAATTGATGATCAATTCATGGTATAGCAAGATATGTTATCAAAAATATCCAATGGTGAAATATTAACCCCATTTCCATGGGAATTATAATAATCCATTTAACCCATTGAGTGGAGTGATCACTTCAAAGTAGAAAAATGTTGAAATTCAACTGCAAAAATATGAAATTAGTGCCTCCCCAATCAATCGCTTGAACAGTTTCGTAAAAATAGCGAAATCTGTCAGATCCTAAAATGTGTTCGTGATACTCTCTTGTTTCCTTAAGCGCTTCGAAACACCCTCGTTTCCCTATTTAGACGTAATGACGAGACGACTGGGACGCGGAAGTGTTTCAATCTTGTACCTGGAGTAAACAGTGCCCTCTTTTGTACTGATTCACCCAACTGATTCATTTAACTCGCCATGGTTCACCTAACGCTTCCCGTTTGACGAAACCCACTATCAGCCAAACTCATATATTATATGCATATATATATTTTGTTCAATTTCAAAGTAGTTGAATATAGTATAAAACCTATATGGAACCACTGAATTCCAGCACAAACAAATCTGTTGAAATAATGAACAGTTGTTAACAGTTGGAGTAAAAAACTGTCCCAAGTATGGGCGATCGACTGTACTAGTATTTCGGTGGCATTACCATAATGAAAAAAATCCTCGCATGTTGAGACCAATTTGGCTACACAGACAGTATCTCTCATCAAGTTCAATAATAAAATTTCAATCATTTATATTTGGACAAGTGAAGTGGAGTGGGTGGAGCAAATATCAACTCATATTCATACTATATAACTAATTTCTTCCCGTAACCATTCCGACACCGAACAGGCGCATACAAATTCGATTTTTGCGGGAGCCCTAGCAATCTTGGTAGTTGCAGGGTGATCTGTAGAATCAGCAGTTAATCCACACATAATTTCTTGAAATTTCCATGGAAACCTAGTATTTCGTCATTGATAACTGGAGTGGGCCTCTTGGTCTCGTCAACTCGTAAGGTAGTTAGAGCATCAAATCTCTCTCTGTAATCTGAAAGTTTCTTCCGCCATAACTCTGAAAACAAATAATAAAATGAGTTCCAAAACTTCAGTCAGCGTATGTACAGGGTATAGGTCTCTCTGCACTTCTGCGGGGTATATCCACCCTATCTTTGAAGAACGAGAAAATGTAATGAGACCAAGCAGAATATTCATCGACATCTTGATTTTTGGGATATAGAGTAACCCAGGTAGCACATCATATTGGTTGGAACCTGATTTCATATTGGGCCGGTATAGATATATCGTACATGTGGAAAATAATATAAGTCCAATATGAGAGTATATTGGACGAACAATATCGGAATGATAATATTGGTAGAATATTGGTTCAACCTGAGCTGAATATGGCTTGTCAGCTACAATATTGGAGCGATATTGGTTGTAAAATTCGTTAACAATGTGTTGAAAAACATACCTTTGAATGTTATATAATATTGTTTTACAAATGTCGATACAACAGCATCGTATATATATTGTTTACAACAATTATAACCAATATCGCAATCTGAACATTTTTCCCATGTCGATATTCAAGTTCGACGGCATATTGTTTGAATATTGTTTTTACATTTTTAACAATATTTGGAACATCATATTCACCTATCTTCATTGATATCATTTTATCTATATCATGCGGAAGATATCGTATACATTTTGTTTCTCACATTTATAACCAATATCGCGATTTGAATATTCTCCTCATGTCGATTCTGGAGCGGTTGTGCGATATTGAATATTTAAGTTCGACGGCATATTGATTGAATATCGTTTCGACAATATTTGATACATCATATTCACCTATCTTAATTGATATTATTTTATCTTTATCATGCAGAAGATATCGCATATATATTATTTCCAACAATTATAACAAAAAGAGCAATTTGAACATTCTCCCAATGTCAATTCTGAAGCGGTTATGAAATATTGCATATTCGAGTTCGACGGCACATTGATAGAATATTGTTTCAACAATATTTGGAACATTGAACTTATATCTCTATTGATTGATTTCATTTCAACTATATCATGCAGAAAATATCGTATACCTTCATATTGTTTTCAACAATTATAACCAATATCGCAATTCGAAAATTCCCCCCATGTCGATTCTGAAGCGGTTATGCAATATTGTGTAATCGAGTTCGACGGCAAATTGGATGAACATTGTTTCAACAATATTTGAAACATCGAATTTACCTATATTAATCAATATCGTTTCGACAATATCATGCGGGAAATATCGTATACATATTGTTTCCACCAACTATAACCAATATCACAATTTGAACATTCTCCCCATGTCGATTATTAAGCGGTTATGCAATATTGTATATTCGTGTTCGACGGCTCATTTTTACATACCCAAATCGATTGATATCGTGTTATCTATATCATGCGAAAAACATAGAATTCATATTGTTTCAAATATGAATATCAATAAGGGCAATTCAATTTATATTTTATTATATTGGACATTCAATATTGTATCTTCAAGTTCAATTGCATGTCGGTTGAATAGTTTTTCAGCCATATTCAGAAAGTAATATCATCTTATATTGGCTGATATCTGATTCACTATATCATGTGAGCAATATCGTTCACATATTGTTTTGAAAATATATACCCTCGTATATACCGATATCCAAATTCTGATATCAATTCCATATCACGCACTCTCAAACCGATGTCGACAGATGGCGCTATAAATGATTGGTAACGTACTGCCATTGCCGATCAGACGAAAGAATATGAATATTGGCTCTTGACGATTGAGAAGCATTATCACCTGGAATAGGGGTTAACCGTGATCGACAAGACGGCTTCTTAAGGGCAAGGCCCTCCCATTGCACCTCGGCCGGGCTGACCTTTGTGATCATTCCTAATGCGAATGACTCGAGAATATTGGTATGAAGATTTTTCACCAATATTTTGAAGACAACATAGTAACATGATAATTTTCAATTATGTACTAATACTGCACCAGTATTGTCAAATGTCCACTGTCATTTATCAGCAATATTGATATCGCATTTTGTGACCAACTGCACGAAAATTCCAGCAATATTGGTATAAAAATATTCTACCAATATTCTAGATACAACATAGCTTCATGATGATTTTCAATGATTCACCGATAGTTTCATGAAATATTACACCAATATTGCCAAATGATCACCATTAATTTCTCGCCGATATTGGTATAACATTTTGTGATCGTTATAACGAATATGTAACTAATATTGATATGAGAAAATTTTAAATTCTTTTTCGATATGACATGATTTTCAATATTTCACCCACATTCTTGAAACTGATATTGTACCAATATCGCCAAATGTTCACTTTTTTTTCTCGCCAATATAACTACTTATTACTTTCACAATATTTTTCCGATATTTTCGTAATATTGCACCGATTTTGTTTCAATATATGTGTGCTACTTGGGAAAAGTGAGAAGTGAAACTTCTCAGACATTCGTACCTCAGATATCTTCGAACTCATCGAGAAAATTGAGAAATATTCTCACAGTTCTCCGCGTATGACCTGGTAACATAGTTCGTTTTCTTTCAACTTTCGCATTACCTACACCAGTTCTATGAAGAAAATAATTTTTCCTCGAATAAAACACCCTGTTCAAGTAATGTTCAATCTTAATTAGGCATGATGGCCATGAAGTTGATTTTCAAAAAGTGAATGATTTCATACAATAGTTCCCTAAGGATTATTGATTTGGAACAGCAAAATGTTATAAACTTTGCGTTCGTCGATCGTAGTTTACGATTATAAGTAAGATATTGTCTCTACCATTACTCTGTTTCTGATTCAAAATCAACCATCCATCTCATTCAATCACACTTATAATGCTCAACTAGTGGAATGTAAAGTATATGTTAGTTTGTTTCATACAATCTGATTTGCAGAGGAGACCTCAATGCAATTTTCTCAAATGGAATGGGGGGACAAGTAATATCTAATTTGAAACTTTTTCAAATTCTCAATACGACATGGGATGATTTCTTGGCGACGTTATCTACTCAGTGCATATTGATATGCAGTTCCCATTATTCAGTTCGTCATAACAATTGACTTCGAGACATCACTATTAATTTTTCCTATCCTGATTTAGAATTGATCTCTCCTTCAGAAGTGCTTATTTGGAGTCACCATGTATTCATAAGCGGAATGAAACCTTACCGTTCAGTTCCTTCAAACTACGCTCTTGTCCATTATAGTCCTCTGGAAGAAGTCTGGATGGTAGAAATTCAGAAATCGTGTCTATACCTTGGTGTAAATGGAGCTGAAATGAAGTAATCATGGATGTTCAGCGTTTGGCTCGAACAGTGGAAAAAAATGATATTTGTTCTAAAATTTGTTCTCTGAAGACGACTGTACATTGATAACTAGTATGGTAGAAGAAAGAGAGTGCACACAGTTCTCCATCATACTTACCCTTTCAGCAATCTTCGGTTTCAGCAGCTTTTTGACAAGGTTGATTAAACTTTCTGCATATGAGGGATAATTGAGGATGTGTAGTTGTTGTACAGAGTTATTCAGTACTTTCTGGAACAAAAAACATCGAGAAAAACTTTTAAAAATGGGACCAATGGACAATAAAGAACTTCCATATAGTACAAAATATGTATGTAATAGAGTAGGAATATACCAAATGATCTGATGTATTTATCATTCAATTTCAATCAGTATCGCCTGGAATATATTGAGTGCGAAATTATACAGGCTGTCTTGTAATTAGCGTGGAAAACTGTGGCATTAGATTCCACTTTAGATACTGAAAATTGAAATGATAGATCAAATGAACATTGTTCGCCAGATAGCACCTAGATAAGCTACAACTTGTTGAAAAGGTTCGGCTGAAGATAGTCCTTGAATTATAATTTTCGAAACTGTTTGAATAGGGTAACCTTAATGTACTATTGGCCAATACGCCTGTTTGACTTTGATAAAATGCACAATTCGAGAGTGAAATCGATCTGAACATGAAATTACAAGAATCATACATACATATTGAAAAGGAATATTCTCAGATATATTTATGAACAAGATTGAATATATAAGTGAAGAAATACATTGAGGATTCTCCATGGATGAAAATTTGTATTCTTCCTCGGTTCATTCAACAGAAAACAACTACTTTCCTGGCTATATGCCACGAAGAATATGCAATTACCAATCTACTGATTACTTAATCTATTGAACACGCACGATAAGAATTTGAAAACAAATTCTTCTGAAGTACAGAATCTGCATTCTCCTTCATATAAAGATATGCATATAATATCAACTTCTATCCTGGCTATTGCCACGTCGAACATTGAATTATATCTGTTGAATATCCAAGAAGAGAGCATGAAAAATCAGAATACTCTGAAATTGAGAATTGTCATTATATCTCAAATCGAATAGAATATCATGATGTATTATGATATAAAAATAATATGACTTACCAATACGTTCAGCATTGAAATGAAAAGAGAATTGAAATGTTATTATCGGAGAAGTACACTTTTATGAACTCTGATCTTGATGAGCTTGGACTTTCCAGAAAAATCATTCGTATCAGTGATGGGAATTACATTCCTCACAAACAGGTTACATGACTCAACTCGAGTAAAACTCATTTCGGAACTCATATCCCCATCTAGTAGAGCAGTTGGAGAAATTGGGGTGGAAATAATTTCCACAAAAATGCAGTTTTCATTTTCTGGAACCTCATTCGACCCCTTACACTATATTAAAAAAAATATAGATGCATTCTTTCATGCAAAAATGTTTCAGTGCAATTTTTCATATGACAGGAGCCCAAACCGAAATGATTGCTTCACAACTCAACACATGATCCGCTACCTATGTTAGGATCTTCAGGATAAAATTCAAAGGAATTCCAAAATCTTCCTTGAAATGATAATATGGTTAGCAGATTTCAAAATTCGTGTCGGGGTGTGGAACAATCATTTTGGTATGTGATTGAATCTATTCTCTGTGATCGTGAATGGAAGGTTCCATATTATTTAATATATTATTCCAGGTATGCCTGAATATCCCAGGTAGAACACTAATATTGGTTCAATATTGAGTCAATAAATGGTGAATGTTGGGAAAATATTAATTTTAATTATTGGGTCAATAAATCAATGTGAACATTCTGGAATCTTGGTGCTTTGTTGAATTTCAATCTTGTTTCGATATGCTCTATCCAATATCAAGTTAATATTCGTATACAAGATTGGACAAATATATGATGCCAATTTATAGAAAACTGGTTTCTTATAATTTTCATATGTGAAATCGATATTGAATTCATATTCCCCAACTATATTGGCTAAAATGAGGATGTGATTATTTCGCAATATTATCATCATGTTCAATTATAATATTCAACCAATATTGAATTTCGTTTTTCAACAAAACTCGAGATCAAAATTCGAAGCCATATTAGCCTCATTAGAAAATTGCGATATTTGTACAATATCAAATCCATTTTCGTTTCCTCTCAGCAGTCGTTTGTTGGAGGCGTGCTGTGGCGCCAGCTGTTATAACGTAGCTCAAATACTAAGAGAAATATCACGAATATCGATTCGATATTAGAAATCCAATGTCAGTGCAATATTGGTTCTGGCATATTTCATTAGTTATATCTATCTGAAATGGGTCGCATATTGATGAACTAATATTGGCTGAATAAAAATACAAAATATTGATACAATATGTTTTCCAAGATTGATTCGATATTGGGAATACAATATCAGCCCATCATGAAAATTGACATATTGTATTCGTTAATATTTCGCCAATATCAAATAAATATTAGCAAACTGATATCGGCTGGTCACAAAATTTCAATGTTATTACAACATTGGCACTGGATTGATTATTGAATATCGAAATGATATTTAATCACCAATATCAGTGCAATATTGCTGGACAACGAAGAGCAATATTCACCAACCATCATAAATCTGATATTGATGCAATATTTTTTTCCATGATTGATTCAATATTGGAAATACAATATTAGCCCAATCATGGGAATTGACATTGTGATCGTCAATATTTCACCAATATCGAATAGATATTGACAAATTGATATCGGCTGGTCACAAAATTTCAATGTTATTAAAATATTGGCAATGGATTGATGATCGAATATTGAAATGAAAAATTGGTTTGATATTGGTGCAATCTAGTAATTCCATATTCAATATTCGAATATTGGGCTAATATGAAACCAAGTTCTAGCCAATATGATGTTCTACCTGGGTATAGTGAATTAAAAGCAGCGATGGATGATGATAAATGTTCATTATTTTCATCAAGTACTGATGATAGTTCGAATTGTGTTGAATTGACTGCTGAAGGTGTCCAAGGAATTATAAGTGCTAGCAAGTAGCAGCAAGACAAAATAATTGAACTCTTGGAACCAGTGCCTATTCATCCTCTGATTGTTAATGTCGAATGTCGTCGTTTGTACGTAAATCCGAACAAGATGAAGAATGATCTCAGGTTCAAATCAGATCCTGATAGGGAAGCATCAACTAGTAGCAGCAGCAGCAGCAACAGAGCTTTGTGATCTGAGCTGCCGATATTCGCATTCAAAGATAATTGCTTGTTTTGTGGCCAACGATTTTTGATCATGAAATGTCCTTGCACGTCTTTTCTCCGTTATATCGATACTTGCCAGCAGCAGATGCTCTGTATAATCAGAGATGTAGTGTGAATTTGGGAAAATGGGAAAATGAACAGACAAAGTTAGCAGGAAGTCCTTCTGATAAAAATAGAGAAGATGCCTTTTTAGAAATATGCAGGTGGCTCGAAGAAAATGATGAACAAATTTCAGTTCAGGAGTTGCTGGACAAAATAGCAAAGCTGCTGCCTGAAAATATCGAACATTACACTTGTTCGTCGTATGCATAAAAAATTAGAAGAATATTAATTCTCGGATGACATTATGATATTGAGAAAAAAAGGTAGAGCTAATATGATCGTAACAAGGAAATCAGTTGCCAATTTAATTAGTGATTATCAACGACAAAAGTATTCAGAAGATCCAGATGCTGAAAAATTTCGGATAGTTGTAGCAACAGCTGAACTGATTGAGAATTTAATCAAGTTGATGACAACGTCCTTAGAGTTTCATCCTTCACCAGAAGAAATAAGTTCCGAGCAGGAAAATAATAAGCTTTCACCCGACATTTTGAAAACATTCTTGAATATAATAATCAACAAAAAATGCTCAAGTTTGAAGAAAAATTCAATTGAACAGGCACTAATGCAAGATGCAAGGCCACGATCTATCATAAGTTCAATTCGTCTAGGTATTGGCACAGTTGAGAGAATAGTATATGTAATATTCTCTCAACTGTGGTATTGGTGTGCAGTATCATCGAGATTCTCGATCTCGGTTCCTTGTCGATGAACTTCATGAGCTTGGGTTTTCTGTATCATATCGTACGGAAGTACTTGCAAAACTGAAGTAGATGAACCTTGTGGAACCAGATGTAAATGTCGACGATACGGAATTTTTTGCTCAGTATTGTGCAATAATTGTTCGGGATGGTACCAATATTCTAATCGAGGAAGTTGGAAATAATGAATGAACTTTTGTTGCATGGCATATATGCCATTTTTATCAGGTTTATATGTTATTAACGAATAAACGAATATTGGAAACACTGTATTTTTATTTTGCACAAAGGTATCATTCCATATTTTCTCATATGTGTTATTCTATGCATTCTGAACTGAGAAAAGCAAACAAAAAATTTGTGGGAATTATTTCCACCTGAGACCATTTTTTATCGCATAGCCACTACACTAATCAGTGAGCTGAAGTCCAGTTATTCTTGCAGCCATTCTTCATGATATAAACAATTTTCATCGTGTAATTCCATATTCGTTGGGGCATATAGCCAGGAAAGTAGTTGTTTTCTGTTGAATAAACCGAGAGAGAATAAATATTTTCATCACATGGAGAATGCAAATTCTCAATGCATTTCTTCATTTATTCAGTCATTTTTCGTTCATGAATATATATCTGAGAATTTTACCAAATGAACTTGAATTGATTAATAATGATAATAATAATAATTAGGTTTTCTGAATTCAGAATTTCTTTCCACGTGCTGTATGATGAATGTCAATTTATTATACATCTAAAACTATACATATCTGACTATTTGAATCGTTCATTGAACGAATTCATACTTCTAACAGTGTTGCAGCTTTCTTGAGTGAAACAGGAGTAAACTTCATGATGTGTCTCAGGCTGGCATCTTTCAAATCGTATATTACTATTTCACCGACGAAATGGTCCTCATGGAGCCGGATTTCAATCGAGTTATAGGTGCTGCCGAAAAAGTCTAATGCGTTGAAATGTTCAGGATCAGCGTTAATCAACTTGAATACAGATATTCGATAACCATCCTCAGTGGATTTTGGTAGTGGAATGTAATATCTGAAAATATGTACTCGGTAAAATATCATGATTTACAGTATTTGGAGTTCTACATAAATCTAAAGACAATAGACCACACTTTTAATTTCGATCAATTTTAAACGTTCCATGAAACTCCACTGGGGTAGGACATTTCTGGAACGTTTCTGATACTGAAATAAGGGAAGTGGGGTATAATTCATGGCATCCTCCGATTCATTAAAATTGCTACCACTTACGCTGTGTCAAGATAACATTGCATTCTAGAGCTTTCAGGATGGCTATTTTCGAAGAATTCTGGTACCAGGGTTTGTTTAGTGTAATACATGTCCAGACGTTGTTTGGTTCCTTCGACACTGAATTTATTCATGAACAAGAAATTCATGATTATCTTTTTATCTGAAATCAATATACCAGGTGAAACAGGGTATCAGCAGGTATCACCCTTCTGTCACTTCTGCTTTCGTAAATGGATTTTTCCTGAAATCAAGTACGGTGAAATAAACAACCATATTGGATTTGATCACATCACATTCCAAAACGGCGATTTTCGAATTCAACAGGTCAAAATAAGTATCGAATGCAATTTCTTCGAGGGAACTCGAAATAAAATGATTTTCTCATCAAAACCCGTGGAAGAATGAGATGTGGCTATATGTCACACATATGACAGAGAAACATACATTTTTCTAAAAAAAAAAAAATTTTTCAAATGAAACCCCAATCGACCACCAACATGTCTCTCTTGAACTTGTATCATGAAGAAAAATTACTTATTATTTTTGTATTTCAATGTAATTACAAATTGAATACATTCAAAGATCGACAGCTATAATAGTTCATGAGTTACTTTGTAGTTCGAATAATTCCACTTCATTTGTTGAAATGACATATAACACATGACATTAGAAATGCACCTGTTTTGATATATTGAAATTGTATATCCTTGATATACAGAGTGTTCGATTTGAAAAAACGAAGTTGCTGGACGTCATATTCAGTTGTAATGTGATCAGATACAAATTGATTGCTTATATGACTGTATCAAATTTCAGAGAATCCCGTTCACGAATGCAAGAGTGATGAAAAGATGGCCTGGTACTCTGTGTCACCCAAATCAATTAGTTAAGAAAGCCTGTGAAATGTGGTTGCAGGCATATTCAACTGAAGTTATACGGTTATGACACAGAATTCACCGAATAGAGTATCAAAATTGTGAAAATATTCTTTGCCATCTCGACCATACCCGTGGTACATCTGCTCATCGTCTGCAATCTGGCTGAAGAGATTCTCATAATCTCGACTCATCGGATCAGATACAAGTGATGATGGAAAATCAATTCGAATTTTTCGGTATCGAAACAGTATTTCCTAAAAACAGTGACAATAGTGTTGAAATTGTATTTTTGCGAACTTTGATGAGTCATTGCGACCACCCGCGGTACTTATGCTTATCGTCTGCAATCTGACTGAAGCGATACCCATAAACTCGAATCATCGGATCAGATAATATATACAAGTGATGATGAGAATATCAATTCGAATTCTTCGGTATTGAAACAGTATTCACCGAAAAGAGTGACAACAGTGTTGGAATAGTATTTTCGCAAACTTTGATGAGTCATTGCGACCTTGCGACCACCCGCAGTACTTCTGCTTATCGTCTGCAATCTGACTGAAGAGATACCCATAATCTTGAATCATCGGTTCAGATACAAGTGATGATAGAAAAATCAATTGACATTTTTCGGTAATAGAACAGTATCAACCAGAGAGAGTGGCAAAATTTCAGAAATAGTATTTTTGCAAACTTTGATGAGTCATTGCGACCATCCGTGGTAGTTCTGCTTATAGTCTGCGCAATCTGACCAAAGTGATTTCCATAATCTCGAATCATCGGTTCAGATACAAGTGATGATGGGAAAATAAATTGAAACTCTTCGATAGTAAATCAGTATTCATCTAATAGAGTCTTTGAGACCACCCGCGGTACTTCTGCTGATCGTCTGCAATCAGCCTGAAGCGAATCTCATAATCTCGAATCATCGGTTCAGATACCAATGATGGTGAGAAAATCAATTGAAATTCTCAGGTAATAAAAGGGTATTTACCATATATCCAAACCTACTTGAGAGTTCCATGCGTAGAATGATACTTGTATTTGGTATTGATTTTAGAATAAAGGTTAGAATGAGAAAATCAACTTTTCAGTTGATCCAGCTCGATCAGTTTCAACTTCTAATGCTATGTGCTGATATTGCACTTCATGGAATATTTCACAGGGCTATCCATGAGGAAACTCACATATAAACAAATGATGGATAGTGGAAATCGATACGAGTTGATGTATGTATATATTAAAAATATTTTTCGTCATCTATAGCGATGGGTATTATGTGGAATTGCCATGCAACTTTGATGAATTATATTTCAGAAATTATATGATTCATCGTAATTTACTAACATGTCGCTGCGGCTAGCCATATCACGAGTCATATTGGGAAAGAAAAGGGTGTTCAGATTAAAGTTTTGCTATAGTTTTCATTTCAGGTTTTTTGGGTCCATCAATATGATTTCGTAGTTTGCAGGCGAAAAATTGTCCCGTTACTTTTTTTCTACAGTTCTTGCTAAAATTTTGACAGTATGGTTGTCATCATTACTGATGAGAGTGTTGATTGTCATGAGGCGTGGAAGAAGGGCATGGAAGGCCATCGAGAGATGTGTTAACAACTTCAACTTTGATGATATCATCGAATTCCGAAGGATTGTCCGAGTCTAACCTCTTGCCATGATAAACAATACGATCAAAGTAGTCGACGACCTTTTTCCGACCATACTGTTCCAACGCATCAGTGTGGCGGAAAATTGCGATGACCTACTGGAAATGTTTCCTTTGTGAGAATGGCTGAAGAAGAGAAATCAAATTTTCTCTATACAAAGCATCTGTACCCATACAAGGCAAGTTGTACAGCGGAAGAGTGCAATATGTTATCGATTGTATGGGTTCTCATCACACAAAGTTGTCTTTTTTTTATCGCTTGGAGCGCACGAAAGGTGATCCTTATAATGTTCAAAGAACATCGTGCGTTCCTAGGGAGGATAGGGACAGGAGGTAGGTATTGGAATTTGTTTTGAACTTTTGGAGATTATATGTTGTTGGGAATACTTCCACAGGCAATGATTTCCAGAGCCTAGCCGTTCTATGGATGAAGGAGTCTTGATAAAGTGCTGTTCGACATCTTTCGGGATTGACAACGAAAAAATGTGCTGACTGGGCTTGTCTAGTTCGTCTGATTGGTATTGCTAGTGGAGGAATGATAGCAGAGATTTCCGAAGAACATTTCCCGTGGAAGTATCGATAGAAAAGTGAAAGGTCGACGACCTTTCTACGGTGTTCCAATGATGTCAAAGAGTGAGTGAGTGTGGCGTCACCCACCAGGCGAATGGATCTTCTCTGGATGGAATCTAAGAGCATCAGCGTATGTTTTGGTGCTGAACCCCATATGTGGGAACAGTATTCTAGAACAGGCCGTATCTGCGCTTTGTAGATCATGAGAAGCTGTTGAGGTGTAAAGTAGCTTTTCGCACGGAACAAGAATCCGAGTTTTTGTGAAGCAGCTTTTGCGATGGATCTGACATGATTATCTCATGAAAGAGTGTTGCTGATGGAAATACCGAGCATAGATATCGTGGGCTCGGTGGGGATGGTGGAGCCATCAGACATTACAATATCGGGCATACTGAGTTCCGCCTTTCTAGAGAAAATGCAGGCTTGAGTTTTGGTGGCGTTGAATTCAACTAGGTTGTTTGTTCCCAGGCTGTGATTTCAGCAAGATCTTCATTGACAGCATTGACCTGCCTGCGCCGTGAGTTTTTAGTTTACTGGGAAGAAATGGGAATTCTGGAAGAGAACGCAGTATGGAGGGTACTATCATCTGCAAGGCTGTGGATGGGGCAAGTTGTTACTCCCAACAGATTATTGATATGAAGCAGGAATAATGTTGGTGCCAAAATGGATCCTTGTGGAACGCTGGAATTGATGCCAATGGTATCAGACGATACACCGTCCACCACCACGTGAAGCGATCTGCCTGAAAGAAAACTCGATAAGGTGGTAGGCCGTATGATGGTAGCTTGTGGAGGAGTCCTTCGTGCCAAACACGGTCGAATGCTTTCGATATGTCCAACGCGACAGCTAGAGATTCCCCGTGTTTTTCTATTGAAAATTGCCATAAATGGGTGACGTAGGCAAGTAGATCTCCAGTAGATCTAGAAGTAGTTGTCTCTCATGGATATCCCGGAGGTACGGATCGTGAAACAAAAAGTGCTGAACGATCGAACAGATCTACGAAAACAATTTCCGCTGACACTCTATTCGATGATAATATGATACCGACCATGGAGAAAGGAACATTCCTGGCCAATACGAACAACAAAAAGGCATTGATCCCCATGATCATAACCAAGATACACTCTCACGGAATGACATGGAGGAGGCGGCCACGAAAGATGCCGACACCGCCATTGTGAACGAAGCACAGTCTTTGTCTGAACATACTGAGAACGGTGGTGGTTGTTGAAGAGGACATATTGACCTGTTAGTCATCCTCACGGGTACGTCGTGCCAACAAGAGAGCGTATTTTTTTAAAAACCATGAAAAAAAAGGAAAAAGATCCTTCTAAACATTCTCCTATGCACACTCTGCGAAATAAAACCATTGAAGAACAGATCACGTTTCTTCACGCAATGAATTGGTGTGATGTGTATAGTCCAGCACCTTACAGCTAAGGAATATTGGAGATCATCAAAACTCTCCAAATCTTCCCACTTCTAACCGATGTTGTAAGTGTGTTCAAAAACTCTGAGGATACTCCAAAAAGAATTGCAGGAGCAGAAGAGAGATTCCTGTTCAACGTTTACGGCTACAGAGAAAGGCCTGAACGGTCAATTAACCATCTGAGGTACATCAATATAAGGAGGCAATTCCCAAGGCCCTGTCAAAACTAGCTGCACTACCACCAGCAGCAGCAGCGTAACAGCTCATTTTTAAGGTTTATCACTAGATGCAACAATGGCACAAATATGCCGGAGATTGGGGTTAGAAACGAACAATAAATATGAAAACTTCACAAACGATTCGTCGAGTGATATACTGGTACACAGTTTAGTCACAGTGTAAGGAATACCCATTCCTTAAACTGTGGTTCAGTTATGATGGCATACCTACGTTTTCATTTAATGATTGTGCAACCGATCCTAAATGCTATTCATATTACTTCCTCTCGAATTTATGTGAAGCAAATGATATAAAAATGTTTTCAATGATGTTTGATTAGCCCCACATGCACCACTGTCATTCGGAAACATACTAAATGCGATATAATGGTTATGTAATTTT